TGCAACATACATGCTATTCTGTCCTCGGTTGTAGATTTACATCGTATGTTCGCTCACCTTGTACTGTGACAGAGAATGCACACGTGTCTTGTACTGCAGCTGACTCAATTAGCTGATATGTTACAAGAGTTGTTCCAACATCGAATAGCATCCCTGGAACATGTGACTTGGATGTGAAGGCAGTTGCACCTGCGCACTCTGTCCTCGGTTCCTCCCAGTACACTCGAGTCTGACCACTCCCGTCATCACAATAATGTACTGGTACGTCACTTGGGCAGTCGATAAAGGCTGGCGTATCTGGGGACAAAAGACCAAACATGGATTCCACATTAATTAGGAGATCTCATTAGTCGTTTTATACCAAATAAAGATTGCTCATCATATTTCTTTCCATATCCTTGTTTTTGCGACACAAACGGAAATCAGTTTAAAAACAACAACACTTGCCTGTTGTTGTGAATGTCCACACATCAGATCTCTCTGGATCAGGTTCGTTGCTATGGATACTGTCAATGTAATATACATATGTTGTTCTTTGCTCTAGTCCCGTCACGTGACAGTCAGCAGTAACTGCACTACCTGACAGTGGATAATTAGTCTGGCATAGCATTCTGATAAATGAGACGCCAAACAGTAATTCATATCCCCAAACTTCGTATTTTTCAGGCATAAGCCCGACAGTCTGCAGCTCCCACGCGATGTCAGCACTCAAACACCCTTCGCGGACTGTTGACTCCTCAACTCTGACCATTACGACTAGGAAGATATAAAAAAATGATAATTTGTCAACCCGCCGTTGAGATGGTGAACTACGTATTTATATAATTGTTTGCGAACTCATACTCACGTGTTTCGCAGTTTTTACCAGCTGTGCCCTCAGTGCAACTGCAAATGTAATCGCCCGGTTGCTCTATACAGAAACCGCCATTTTCACAAGGGTTTGGATCACACGGATCTTTCGGAGACTGGCAGTTCGTTCCAGTCCAGCTTGCAGTACATGAACAATGGTAATTGACACCGTCGTCCCAACATGTGCCACCGTTTTCGCAAGGATACCCCGCGTCATCACATTTATCTTCTGCAAAAAAATTCCGATCTCAGTGTTCGAATTTTTAAGTACTTGTATATGCATTATTTAAAATTAACAAATACATAAACTTAATACCAAAGGAGAAATAAACTAAACAAAGTCTTACCACTAACAATGATTATGGTATCTGAGACCACACCGACAGTATCCGTTATCTCGACAGTAATTGTATAGGTCGTGCCTGGTGCGATCGGTGTGAACGTGTATTCATACCGACCATTTGGCAGCATTAGTTGATACGTCTCAAATTGAGTTAATTCCAGTTCCGTCAGCCCATCCTCAGTGGCAGGACTTATCGATAAACGGCTGCCTACGATACTTAGTGAATCGCCAGCGACTCCCCAGTTGACAGTTAAAATGTCATCCATCCTTTCCTCTATTCCGATATCGGTGAATGACACATCACAGTAAGCTGGAGAATGTAAACACGCAACAAAACTGTGTTAGGTTTATTTTGAATACTATATCTCCGCATTAACCGCTTATGTATCTATTTAATTAAATTATTTATCATGTTCTTCGTTTTACCCCAGGCTAACTTATGAAATTCCAATTGCATTCCTTACTCCAAATATTTGGAAAACTCGCCCACACAATCTTCGAGTCTGTGCTTACCATGGTATAAACATGCGCTGGTTAGAGAAATATACTTAGTTCTAAAATGAAATCGCCTTCGAAACACATCCCCCAATACTTCTTGTAGTGGGACTAGTAAATAATGACAATCCAGTCCATCATGAATAATTGGTTTGGCGTCATATCAATTTTTAGCAATCCAGAAATTGATGTATAATAAAATCTATTAGGTGTATGGCAACATGGATTTTGTACTAGACACTCAACGCTTCGATATTGATTTATATAGTAATAGACTTCACTTTCTTGAGATGGAAGACTGAGTGACGTTCACAATTATATAACTGAAACAATAAAGTGTGCTTCTTGAACCAATCGCAACGCGTTTAACATTAATGACGTATACACGACGAGAACTTTACGTCACTTCCTTGCTGACAGGTGCAGGGTATATCAGCGAGTTCTTTTAAACGCGCCCCCACTAGCTCAGTTTAAAGCGCGATGGTCGTCGCGCAGCGCGTGTTCGAATTTCATGTAAATAAACAATGTATTTTGCACGCGTTGTATACGTCGCTATAAGTCCCATATCGAACAGGACGTGGCACGACTACCACCGCCTTTTAAACGAATTAATACATATATCACATGACGGTGAATGAATTCTGTGAATATGTCTATTCTTCCAACTGAATTCATTTGAAGTAGAGGTCATAGATCACTCGAGGGCATAAATGCCTGACCATTAACTGATTGAAGCTGATTACAGATGCCGTGGCTCAGAACCATTTTCAACTAAAATGCATTTTGTTCGTTTTGTCCGAATGCATTGAGATGAACGACAAAACAATTCGTAATTTGGAAATGTCACCACAGCATCGGTAGGAATTGTCAGCCTGCAATGTCGAAGAAAAATTACACACCTACGCCAATGTCTAAACATCATTCAAGCTTTCAGGTTACAAACGACCCCCTAATGGATCCTGGTTATTTCGAGGGGGGGGGGTATTATTGTTGCCATATTACAACTATAGCTATACTTTCTAATTTCACATACATTATTTTTTTCACGTGACGTGTGACTTTGAAGTTGATTCGTTGTATCACTGCCGTCACTACAGTTATTGCTCGATACGTGGACAGTTCATGCATATTCGTCATATAGAGGTGTCGAAATCTATTATTCGTACCAACTTAGTTAATTCAATGACGTCATCGCATGACCGATCACGCGTGATCGGGCGTACCTAGTAGAAGACGATTGCCCTCTTTGATTTATATAACAGATTTAAAAATCGACATTTCCATGACTTCCCGTGACAACTATGTGCGAGCACTCTCACGTGCAATTTGCAATTACAAAATAGAGAAAAAGTCAGGAAAGACAACAGTGACATTCAAATGTCCGGAACTGTCGCCTGGCACAAAATAATATCGACATTTCCAAACAAGTTCAAGTTCACGTCGTAGCGACTTTTGATTTCATTTATATTGATCATATAATTAATTAAATTAAAATTAATATCGACGGAATTAAAATAATGCCACATTTTAAAACAAACAATGATGAGTAATTGGACCGTTAATAAAAATAAAAAATATGGTGTGTCTCGTTTGCTGACTATCAGCTAAGATACGGCGGTAAAAGTCGTGACCACACATCTATAATTAATCAAGCAATCAAAAAATTTACCGTGTTAACGGTCTAATTCACCGTTAATCGAAATAACATGTCAGCTGACTTGTTTTGCAATAGTTGCGAAAATTTCTTGTCGGAGGCGGAAATCTTTATGTTCTAGCCAGAATATAGTTTCATTAGCCGATTAGTGTATATTCGGAAGGTAACAAGTCGTCACGGTGGTGCCGGCTACATTATTCAAGCAATTAACTGATCTCTCATTTAAAATTAAACTCGACCATGTTAACCAAATAATTAGAAGTAATTACCCAGTAATGCTAATATCACATTAACTGATATTGCAATTTAAAATAGACTTAAATTAATTACGACAAAATGGCCGTTAATTAACATAACGACTTTATTCACCCCCCGAAATAAGCGTAACACACAGACGGTAATTTTAAATGAGGAAACTGTCATGGGAAGACTACGACATGATATTGGATTGTGACAAGTCGTGGCCACACTGTTAAAGCGCGGCGGTCGTCGCGCAGCGCGTGTTCGAATTTCATGTAAATAAACAATGTATTTTACACGCGTTGTGTACGTCGCTATGAGTCCCATATCGAACAGGACGCGGCGCGACGACTGCCGCCCTTTAAACCGTATATATTAGCCAAATAATATGTACCATTTAAAATGAGCTGATAATAATTAGCTGTGATCGAAAACGCATCTACGCCCCTTTTTGCAAAGGTGTGAGGGTGTTTTCTTTTAAATTGTACGATAAAACTGTCTTTTGCTGACTAACACGTGCAATTCGCCGGCGGCGAAAATACAGTACAAGCGTCGACTAATTGTTAAATGTTGTTGGCTATAATTTAGGTTTCGGCGTTGAGAAGATATTACCACCGTGTTACAGGCCGTCTACGTTAGTCCAATGCTTAAACTGCATTACAATATTTTAATTGCCTGTTTTTTAATTTTTTGGTAATATGAATGTTTTTTTTTTGTTATTCAAATATTAGTTACGCTCGAGTAATAGAGCGCGTAATGTTTTCTGGTCGGACGCGGAAATTATTGGGTGAGATCGTGAGGCGGGGGGGGGGGGCAAGTCGTGATCGTTATGTGATAAACCACCCACATACCAACACACTATGACTTATTATAATCAAAAGTAAAAAAAAATGTGTTTATTTCATTTCAGTCAATGCGCACTGAAGGTTTAAATTATTGGCCATTGGTGGAGAAGGGAGGGGAAAAGGGTGGTGGTGGGGTCAAAACAGGCTCGGAGTTCGAAACTGTACTTTTTAAAAATGAATGGAAGCTACTGTTAATAGAACATAAACGCATGCCTTAAAGACTGCTGTCATAAAAAGGTGGCTTCAAATATTTTGCTCGCTACGTAGCGAAGGTAAATATGGTAACAAGTTAAAGCGAGCTTGATTCGAATTCCGCCATATACCGCCATTGTCCTGTTGGATGCGAGCATTGCGACGGACATGTCGTGACGGGGGTGTAAGTCTATATTTGAAACACTTTGCAGTATCAATTCAACTAAACGAATGAGTAAGTGAATCTTTTTTATGAAGACATTAGAAAACGTTCTCTTCAACAACAACAACAATTAACGGGGAATTGTACTACAGAGGATGTACTCTTTCCCGTCGCGTGATTAATAACATCAATAAAAAAAAAATAAGTAGAAAATGGCCACAGTGCACAGAAAATAAATCATTTTCTTTTTCATTATAGCTATTTCACAACACCGTAGATGGCTCACAAAATGCGATATACCTGCCACAGTGTCGACTATTTGGTAAAAATATAATGAAATTTTATATTTCAAAAAAAAATAAAAAAAATAAATGCTATTAAATAATTAAAAGTGGTTGTAATGTACCTACCTCCAGTCAGAATCAGTAAAAAGATGAATGATTTACAAAGGGATGCACCCTGATGATCCATATCACTTCGTTGTACATGCAGTTATGAGAAGTAATGCATGTTCCTCTTTTCTAGTTGCACTTATCGTTAGTGGAATAGGTGGGTCATGTAATCATGTTTGACGGCCACGAACTGGGGAAAAAAAGGGGAAACCCCTTTTACAATGCCCCTCCTACCTGTCAGTATATATTTGATGGACACAGGCAGCTGTACGGACTACTTTTTGTGAATTGCTGTGATTTTTTTTTCATGAGTCTGTCCTGAACAACTTGAAAAAATCTAGACCCAGAAAAGTATACTTTCACACACGCGTGAAAATAAGCAGAGCTCAAATGAATAGTGAAAAAAGATGTTAATGGTCGACGAACTTTGTCTTTGTCATGTGTGGCGTAAGTGTGAACTTCGTTCAAAGGTAGCTTTGTTGAAATGATGTTGGACACACATCATTATGTAGTTGTCAACGTGACAACCTCATGCATGGATTTACTTGTTTTAATTTATTCATGATATTTACATAAGTCGCTGACTTTAAGTCATTATACTTCACACAACTAACTTACGCGATTAATGTATATTTTGGACATAGTTTTAGAAGTTGCAGACATTTTGTGTTGCCCCCCAAAAAAGGGTATAATGTTTCATAATCTACATCGTTGATGGCGTATTCGCAGTATTGCATTACAACTCTGATGCACAACTCTTGTGCTGTTGTCAATAGGTGGCGCTGTTCCTAAGACAATTGCACAATTTAAACTCAATGCACGCGTTAAAATAAAGAAGTCTCATGTAATGCATTATATAAGCTGTTATAAATTCACGACACTATATGCCTTATCGTCTTGATCGATTAAAGGTATCATAAGATATTGTTGAAACCAATTCCGTTTTAGTAAATCCACTAATTTCCCCGGGTGAATACAACATTAGGCCAAAAAAAAAAAAAAAATGTTTTGTTGCCCTCAGCTACCGACCGCAAAATATGAAATATCGGGTCGCGGTTTTTTTTTTAATAGGCCCAAATATTAAAAACTCGCCATTTTAAGCAGTAAAAAAGTGTTCCTCTAAAAATTAACGATTCCGGAACGTTGTTTGATCCCCAGGGACCCGGAGGGATAAGTGGCGACTTCGAACCTCGGGTTGATCTGTATTTCTCTGACATGTTCCGAATACTATGAAGTCCATATACCTCGGCTATTTACAATACCATTAGTTTTCACGAGTTTAAAA